CCGCCCCGCCGACTCCCTCCACCCGGCCAGCCCCCTCGCCGCCCGGATCCGGAACTCCGTCCGGTCTTCCAACCCGCCCATCGGGGCAGCCACGGATGCCTGCAACCTTTTAGCTGAAGTGAAGAAGGTCTTCCTTCTCCTCCAACCGCGGGGACCCGGATTAGGATCCCCAAGGCACGTCTTCCGCCCGCAACGCGATCGCAGGGCTCTCACCGCCTCTTGCCTCCTCCTCCGCAGCCTCCCGGGTTACTACAGACGCTGTGAGCCGCGCCCCGCCCACTAGGAACTGGGCAGCTGATTGGCGGAAACTCCGCTTCCTAGCAACTAGCCCGGCCCCTGCCGCTTGGCAGGAAGACCGGTACCCGCCTGGAGCTCCTCGCCCAAGGCTTTACTGTAGACATCCAAGAATATGCCTTCACAGACGTTGGAAAGTGCTAAGAGGTGGCGTCCCACTCAGAATGAGGGAACCAGGCTTGCTCGTCCGAAAGGCATAGACATTCTGGAAAACAAGAATAAAGAGCTGTAGCAGCGCCGGCGAGCGGGGCGGAGCAGGCGCGGCTTGGTCGCCTGAAACCGACAGGCAAGGAAGGGCCGGCTGCGACACGAGGAAGAAGGCCCCTCGCCTCCTGCCGGGCGCTGTCGTCTGCCGGTTCCTGGCGTTCCCCGGTTCTCTGTCCCGAGACTCTGTGGCTCTCGTCCCTAAGGATCGGGAACTGCGCCCTCATGGCTGAGGTGAAGGTGAAGGTGCAGCCGCCCGATGCGGGTCCGGTTGAAATAGAAAACAGGTAAACCAGTGAGGCTCCAGTTCCCGTTGGGGCGCCCTCTGCCCGCCCCCGCCCCACTCCCCCACCCCAAACTCCCCGCAGGCGACGGGTCATTTGGGCAGCCGGACCCCTTCTCCAGGAGCCCACAGGAGAGGCTAGAGCAGGTAGGGTGAACACTTGAGAAAGTGATTGCGGAGTTCTGGGCCACCCCAGCCCTCGGAGAGCAGAGCTCTTAAATTCAAGAAGGATTTTACAGCTTGCAGCTTTGTGTAGCTGGCTTTGCCCCAGTGCTGGTTAGGAAGTTGTGATGATATGCTTATCTACAACTGAGGTGATCACTGCTTTGGGAGAAGACCCTCGGCTTTTTTCCCGTGGTATTTGTGGATACATGTTCTAATCCGGGATTGCTCTTCTCACTAAGGAAGAACTCCCACAAGAAATGTTTGGGCGAAGTTAGGGTGCAGTATGTGATTACGAAGCAACATTAAGCCAAGTGGTTTCAGTACAGTATTGAGCTCAAGACTTTTAGGGCACGTAAATCTTCTCCCAATTTTATATTCTCTACCAGTGCACTGCTATACTTAGGTTAGTAATAGTTGTATAAGACTCCAACTTTCTCAAACTGTTATGAATAATACCGTTAGGTTTGGCGAGACGGAGAAAAGGGAGAGAGAGACCCGAGCCAGACGCTATTTCAGTCAAAAAACTTTATTCCACTAATGTGGAGGGGAGACTGAGCCAGATCAGTTCCCCCCGAACAAAGGAAAAGAGGAGTTTATAAGCCTTTGACGGTTCTGGCAGAGTAACGGGCAACTTCGAAATCAGTGGTATGTAGGTGACACAGCCTTTGTAGTCTGCTAACACCTGGTCGCTTAGGGTATAGGCTTTTTTTTTCTTTTTTCTTTTCCTTTTTGTCTTTTTTCGTGTCCGGCAACGGACCGCAACCCTCAGTGTCGCGCCCGTACCAGACCGGGACCGGCAACGGGATCGCAACCCTCGGTGTTGCTCCCGCACCTCGCTCAGCCAGTGAGCGGCCGGTCTGTATGTGGGATCCGAACCTGGGCCGGCCCAGGGTATAGGCTTCTAATTAGTGTCGCTACTATATCTGTGCAAAGCGCTCCAGCCTGAAGCCAGCTACCACAGCCCACAAGACGTTCCTTTGATGATAAGTCAGCAACGGATCGCAACCCTCAGTGTCGCGCCCACACCGGACCGGGACCGGCAACGGGATCGCAACCCTCGGTGTTGCTCCCGCACCTCGCTCAGCCAGTGAGCGGCCGGTCTGTATGTGGGATCCGAACCTGGGCCGGCCCAGGGTATAGGCTTCTAATTAGTGTCGCTACTATATCTGTGCAAAGCGCTCCAGCCTGAAGCCAGCTACCACAGCCCACAAGACGTTCCTTTGATGATAAGTCATGTTTACCCCTTCCCAGGAGACGAATTTCGCTGCTCAGTTCCCAAAGCAGAAAAGGGAAAGGGGGGAAGTTGCTTAACCTGGCTGTGCTGATGTTAAGTTAGCCATGAATCTTAATAAATACATATATTAATTATATGACAAGGTGAAGATTTAGACTTTTGTTTGGTAGGGATATTATGGTGAATTGGCAAAACAAATTTTGGCTTCCCACCAAAAAGTTGTCTGCATTTGCCTCTTCCTTACAGACTTGTGGCTTAACTTTGTCATACTTATTCCATGTGAGAAAATTGAAGTCACAACTTTAATATTTTTTCTGTTTTCGTTAGACTTTTGCTCTAGTATAAAATTCATATTAGTGAGGAAAAGAAATACTCCTCTTAAATAACAATAATAATGTAATCATATATTTAGAAGTCACCTTCCTCAATTTCTAACATGCTTTGTTTCAAAACCTTTATAAAAGCCAGATTAATGTGAAAAAGCACAATTTCAAACTGTTCTGCTTGTATTCTCCCCCGTCCCCCCATGGCCTCTTGAAACAGATAAACATGAAGAATAACATTAATGCCTTTGTTTCTAGGATTATAGAATTATGTCACCAGTTCCCTCATGGAATCACAGACCAAGTAATTCAGAATGAAATGCCTCATATAGAAGCCCAGCAGCGGGCAGTGGCCATCAATAGATTGTTGTCCATGGTAAGGTGAATCCAGCTAGTTCATGTAATTCCTTATAGGTTGTGGCTGTCATTGCTTCCTGTTACATAGCTGTGATGGTTAATTTTATGTGTCAACTTGACTGGGACAAGGGATTCTCAGATATCCAGTTATACTATTTCTGGGAGTGTCTATGAGGGTATTTCTGGAAGAGATTAGCATTTGAATTGATGAGCTGAGTAAAGCAGATGGCCCTCCCCAATGCTGGCACTCCTGGTTCTTGGACCTTCAGACTCATACTGGAATCTATACCATCAGCTCTCTGGCTCTCAGGCCTTTGATCTATACCCAACTTTCCTGGGTCTCTAGCTCATAGAGGACAAATTATGGGACTCCTCAGCCTCCATAGTCATATGAGTGAATTCCTTATAATCTTTTTCTGGACAGAGAAAGAAAGAGAGATCTATCCTATTGATTCTGTTTCGCTGGGCCTTTGGGAGGAAGTACAGCCTCCGCCCGCAATGACATTATAGTGGGGTTTGTTGGAGAAGCCCCACCTCCTCATACCTCTCTTCTTTCCTCAAGAACCTGGGGCCCTAATGCCATTCTCCTCCAACTGTCCAAAGACTCCCCACCTAGTGGTACCCCATGCTCTAAATCTACCTATTTCTCCCTCCTTTCCCCCATCATCAAAACTCACTTTTCCTGAGAGAATTTCAATGTGGTTTTGGTAGCAATTAGATAAAAGAGTTCAATACTACGGCTTCATCTGAAGGACTGATTTACTTTTTAAAATCCACAAGCCTTTTTGGATTTCTAAGGGCTCTGGATTTGAGATTTGGGGACAGGTGAACCTTTTGTTAAATCATTCCCTTCAACATTCCAGCTCAGGAGTTAGCACACTTTTTCTATGAAGTGCCAGATAGTATATGTTTTAGGCTTTGTGGGCCATATGGTCTCTGTCACAACCACTCAACTCTGTCATTTTAGCAAGAAACAGCCATGGACAGTGATACATAAACAAATGGGCATAGCAGTGTTCCAATAAAATTTTATTTATAAAAACAAGCAGTGGGCCAGATTGCTTACCCCTGTTCTAGCCAAAGGAATGTTGATTTCTATTCATTCACTGTGGTCTGCATGGTCTTCAGCTACAGGAAGGATAGAGGAAGGGGTTCTCGGAGATTGTGGCAGTGGAAAATTTCCTTTTTGTCCTTTGACCTCCCTCTCAACCCTTTCCTTTCTGACTGAAAATCATCCTCAGCACCACCTCTGTAACCGACTGTCTGATGTCAGTCCTATTAGCTATGAGCTGTAGGCAGTGGCAAAGCTAGTGAAGGATTTTAAGCAAGGGGTCAAATAAACAACTGAATGGAGCCTCCAAACTGTGTTTATGGTCCCACTTTGCCACTTAGTGGGTTCAGGGAAGGAAAGGAGGGTGCTGTTGTTCATCCAATATGTAAATCCATCTCCAAATCAAGAGTCTATTCAGTCTTAACACATGAGAATGGGGCCAGAAGCTCAATGGTACAGCCATCAGGGTTCTCCTAAGTTCAGACCCAAGGAAATTCAGAAGCAGGACAGAACATGCTTTATTTTACTTTTGATTTGTTATGTAAAAACAATATTACTACAGGCCTTTTATTCATTGGTTGACCTTTCTGCCTAATTTTCGTGTAAATTTTATTTAGTCATTGTGCTATAGAATGTTTATGCATGTTTAGCATTTATTTGAACTTTTTATTTATACAGATATTATTTTATTCTTAAATTTTATTTATATTTTATATATATAACTTAGATTTATTTGGATTAGAGTATAGATTTTTACTTAATATTCTAAAGCTGAGTTTTTAAAATTCCTTACGCACTGATCATATAACCAAGCCAGGATGTAGGACATAGGAAATTATTAGTATTGATGTTTTGGAAAATTTCGAGATAAAGAGCTAGAAATACATTGTACGTGATGTGTAGGCAAAAATTTATGTCTCTTGTGATGGGGGGTTAGCTGACAGGTACAGGGATCAAACCCTGGGCTTTGTTGTTATCAGCACCACGCTCTAACCAACTGAGCTGACCAGCCAGCCCAACTTAAATCTCATTTGAGGAACTGACAAATAACTGTGGGAGGTAGAATATTTTAGTCTGTAAAATAAAATATTAAAGACTGTCACTAGACTTAATGTATCTCCAAAATAATTGACTCCTATTATCTTTTTAAAAACTTTAGGGTCAGTTGGATCTCTTAAGGAGTAATACAGGCCTTTTATATAGAATAAAGGACTCTCAGAATGCTGGGTAAGCACCTATGTTTTTAATTTTAAGAAAATTTTAATTGTTACAAAAGTAACACGTGTTGGAAAAAAACTAATACAAAATTGCATAATATAAGCCTATTCTGCATATATCATTCCCACCTCCTACCATAGGTTTCACTTCCCAGAGATAACCACTTTTAATAATTTGGCATATATCCTTTCTTCTAGATATATATAAATACACATAGATGATTATATATTTATATACTATGTATTTATATATAATCTCTTTTCTTTTCTTTTTTTTTAAAACAAAAATGGGATCATGCTATCCATACTGTTTTGCAACTTGTTTTTTTCACTTACTGTATCTTGGACATCTTTTCATGTTGATACATACAGCTCTGTCTCATTCTTTTTAAGGTAAGCCCTTCTTTTGGTAAATAAGTCACGGTGATGACCTTGTTTGCTAATTCATTTAAGTAGTTTTGTAGATTAGATTATCCTGTACCTTTTGCCTTTTTAATTTTACTTTATTCCCCTGCAGTAAAATGAAGGGATCAGATAACCAAGAAAAACTAGTGTATCAAATCATAGAGGATGCAGGAAATAAAGGTAAGCATGAGAAGAATGAAGCAGAAAAAACATTGTCTTTGGGACTAAATATAGGGCCCTGAATCCTGGCTTCCCAGGGTATAGCTCAGTGTGTAGAGTATGCTGCCACTTGTGTAAAAAGGGGAGGAAGTGAATAGAACATACATGTGCTTGAAGCACACCCAAGAGTGGTGCCATTGTTGCTTTGAGGGAGACAGGAATTAGACGGCCATGGCCAGGGATGGAAAAAGACTTCTGAATTCTGATCCACATGAATGTATTATCTATTCAAAATAAATAAATTAAAACTTAAGCTTTTTTTGTTTTTTAATCTTCCTTGTCTAGCTAAATGACTTTCGACAAGTTACTTAAACTTTGTAATCCTCAGTTTCTTCATCTTACTTGCAAATTGTGGATAATAGTACCTTTGGTTTTGCAAGGGCAGACAGATGCCTAGTGAGGTGTGGTAGTGTCTTGAGGGGAATCTCAAGTGAAAATATCAGAAAACAGAGATTAGGGTGCAGGAGGAGATGGAAGAGATGATATAAGTTAATTCACTAATATTCATGATTTTTTTCTTCCATTATGAAAATGTCCTTTTTAAAAATGTTTTTCAAAAGGTGCTGCATGGGCCGGCCCGGTGGCGCACTGGAGAGTGCGCCGCTTGGGAGGGCAGCGGCGCTCCCGCCAAGGGTTCGGATCCCATGTGGAGACCGGTTCCCGCTCACTGGCTGAGCGCGGTGCGGGCGCAACACCGAGGGTTGCGAACCTGTTACCAGTCAGTAAAAAAGACAAAACGGTAAAAAAAAAAAAAGGTGCTGCATTGGGATTCTAAGAAATTTCCAGTTACAATATAAAACATATGACTTATTTATTGTTTTGCATACTTTTGTTAATTTATCCAAGGTTCTTACGTCTTAGTCACTTAATTTTTCCTACAAATAATTACATATAACCTTTTGTTAAAACTTTATTTTGCTAGTTTTGGAATGAGATGTAAGCTATAAGAATAGAAACAAAAATCCATGAACGCCATAGTTCAACTTATTTTACTTTACCATCTTATAGGAATATGGAGCAGAGATATCCGATATAAAAGTAACTTGCCATTGACAGAAATCAACAAAATTTTAAAGAATTTGGAAAGTAAAAAGCTTATCAAAGCTGTTAAATCAGTAGCAGTGAGTAGTTTTGTCTTTTCTTCCCCTAAATATTCACTTACATATATTGCTCCAACTATATTTCAAATTTTTATTCTTTAAGCTATGTCACGATTTTAAAAAGACTTAAAAATTTAGGTCTTAATGGATTGGTTTGGAGATGCTGCTTAGATTTGTCACTACCTAATTAACTCTTGGTGTCTTACCTACTTGAAAATCTGAAACTTAACTATCTTCAGTGAAGAATTTTGGAATCATGAACATTTTTCCTAGATTTTGTGGTATGTAAGATAATTTACTTTATCCTGGCATATTAGTGTACTCATTCAACAAATATCTATTGTTTGATATGTACCAGGCACTGTTCTGGGTGCTTGGGATAAACTAATGAACAAGTAAGACAATGATCCCTGCCTTAGTGAAGTGTCTCTCACAGTACACTGGTGAGTTTCCTCCTCCTTATCCCTTCTCATGCCTGCTACATTCTGGAGCTTCATACTCTAGAGCTGGTTCATCAGGGATATCTGCTGCTGATCTCACTGATTGAGATAGAAAAGAAACTGAGATTCTCCTGGAGTAAAGCTTGCTTGAATAAAGATTTCAGCATATAAGAATTCGATGTTCATTAGTGGTTTTGTTTATCAAATGATATTTGTTATACCACTTCCCTATCACATTTTTAGTGGATAATTCCAAATATATACAAAAGCAAAGAAAATAATATAATGAATCTCCATGTATCCATAATCTAGTCTCATGTTGCCAATTTTCCTCCTACTTCTTTATTTTTAATAACAACTTTATTGAGATATAATTCACATACCACAAAATTTAGGGATTTTAGTTAATAATAATGTATCAGTATTGGTTCATTAGTTGTGACAAGTGTACCACACTTATACAAGATGTTTATAATAGGGGAAACTGGGTGTGGAGTATATAGGAACTCTCTATACCATTTTTGCAATAATTCTGTATATATGAAACTGTTCTAAACTATAATTTTTTTTGTTTTGTTTTTTGAAACTGTTATAAATACTTGAACTGTGTGCATTCTTTCCTAGGCCTCAAAAAAGAAGGTGTATATGCTCTATAATCTGCAGCCGGACCGGTCTGTGACTGGTGGAGCTTGGTACAGTGACCAGGATTTTGAATCTGAATTTGTAGAGGTGCTTAACCAACAGTGTTTTAAATTCCTGCAAACCAAGGTGAGGCATAATTGAGGAAAATCACTGCAAATCTTTAAAAATGTTTCTTCATAAAGGATTTTAATCTTGTATATCATATTTTATGGGAATTGAAAATCTGAGATTGGTAGTTTTCACTAAACAAAATATGTTCTGTTGTTAGTTTTACTCTTAAGTTGTATTTAGAGAACACTCACCAATATTCTTGCTTACATCTCTTTATGTTTCAACCCGTATAGGCAGAAACAGCACGAGAAAGCAAACAGAATCCGATGATACAAAGAAATAGTTCATTTGCTTCATCACATGAAGTGTGGAAATATATCTGTGAATTGGGAATCAGTAAGGTCAGAACTCAGTTTCAAACCTTTTCATATAATTTATATCCTATTTTAAAAAACTTCTTTATCATAAAGATACAGTTTACAATGTATTTCAGACATTTGACGCAGACCCTTTTCTCAGATGATAGCTATGAACAGTCTGCAGAACCCACTTTGGGCAAGTACTGTCCTAAGCCTTAGGCAAAGGCTGTCATTGTCATTGTCTTAACTGTTCTTGAGCTTAGGACATAGAGCAGGCTTGGTAGCGAATTTCACTACCCAAATTCAGAAGTCTGTTTGACAAGTTCTTGACTTTCTCAAGGATATTTCAGCATATATGTAAAATATCAGTCATAACATCAGTTGTCATTTATTGGTATTTTCTTACTTATGAGATATAAGTGTTTTCTTACTTTATGAGGTGTCTTCAGCAAATTCTTTTGAAGACCAATACATAAGGACTGATGCTTTTTTACATTCAGCGAAGCAGTTGAAGTGGCCAGTTGGACAAACCATTTTCATTTCCTGGGCCCCAGATTTCTCATTTATAAAGAACTAAGAACTTGGACTATTTGATGTCTAAAATACCTTTTTGCTCAAGCATTTTATAAATCTCCATCAAACTCTTGCCAAAGAAATGTTATTTTATAAGACTTCTATATTTTACTTAAGAGGGAAAGATGTCAGAAAGTGTCAGACTCACCATGAGTTGAGTTCTGTCCCTAGCATGTCAGTGGTTTGGATGCTAACTTGGACTGTCATTCCCATTCTTTGTGCTTTTGATTACCCCTCTCCAGCATAATGCTTCCCATTTCACTGAAGAATTGTGACCCTTTATAACACTCTCCAAACGGATGTCTCCTTGACCTTTTTGTGTCCATTCTAACGTGTCCCTTTTCTAGGTAGAGTTGTCCATGGAGGACATTGAAACCATCTTGAATACACTTATTTATGATGGGAAAGTGGAGATGACTATCATTGCTGCAAAAGAAGGCACAGTTGGCAGTGTGGATGGACACATGAAGTTGTACAGGGCAGTCAATCCAATCATTCCCCCAACGGGTTTGGTCCGGGCACCCTGCGGACTCTGCCCAGTAAGTGGCTTCACTTTACCCTTGACTGCCACCAGGTACAAATGCCACATAAAAAAGCAGAGTAGAGTAAGCACACCCCAGTTTTCTCAGACTCCTGGGTTGACTAAGACCTAGTCAAACCTCTATATTACCTTGATGAACAGAATGAACAAATCATTGCCTTATGTTCTTATTTGGAATAAACAGGTTAAGGACATTTGCATTTTCTGCTCTTGGCCCTGAAATGGACATTTTTTTGATGAGGGCTAATCATTTAACCTAAGTAGGAAAGGAAGTGAGATTTGTTGAGAACCTGTCATGGGTCAGGTGTGTTCTTAATGATTCTCATATGTGGTCTCATTAAATTCTCCTTATGTCCTTGGAACTAGCAGTGGTATTTCCCCGTTAAGAGTGAGGGAAGTTAGGCTTTGGAAGACTAAGAGCATAAGGCTTAGAAGTAACAACCAGGATTTGAACCCAGAAATAATGTCTTTCCTCTAAATCCTGCCCCAGCACTCTTCATTCATTCTTTCCCAGATAGTATATGGGTGCCATCTGTGTTCTGTAGGCACTGAGAATAAAACAGAGAGCAAAACACTGTCCCGGTCTTCATGGCATTTATATTCTTGAGCTGCTAGTCAGTGCTTTATTTCATTATACTGGCCCTGCCTATATGCCTAAGCTCTCTCTGCTCTGGTTTCAGCTCCTAGACTAGGGCCAAGGGTTTGGATCCCTGTACCTGCCCGCCGTCCAAAAAAAAAAAATTTAACACCCTTCACAGAAAGGAAGATAACTAAACATGAAACATTCTGTGAGTCAAAATTAAGTTGTTCATATATATATATGGGTCTCCCTTCTGTATTCCTGTGTTACCTGCTGATAGTCTTTTGTCCAGTGGGCAGGTGAACATGGTAATCTTAATGCTACAATAAAAAGCCTCATTAACTAACGTAATGATCACAAAGTATAGTATGTTCTTAGGTACAGATCTAATTCCTTCCACTTTGAAAGTTTTGTTTTTAAAATAGCTTTAATGATTGGGTCTTGGATATTTTTAAATTTCAGTTTTAATATAAACTTTTTTTTTTTTTTTTAAAGGTTTTTGATGACTGCCATGAAGGTGGTGAGATTTCACCATCTAACTGTATTTACATGACAGAGTGGCTCGAATTTTAAGAGGGCTGTGGACTTTACTGACATTTTGCAAGTGAAGTTATTTTGGGAGCAAATAACTTAATTCATGATGGAACATCAAATTTCCTTAAAAGCAAACTTCACAATAATGGATACAGACTTGCTGCTATGAAAACATTTTTTTATTTATGAAGACTAAATTTACATTGGTTGAGTAGCCAACAGAAAATGAAACAGGTAAGGTTAGTAGTGAAATCCATTCTTCAGTAAATAAAATTCCTTGATGCTTTGGAGAACCACGTCTTTTGAAGCTTTTAAGAGTTTTCATGGTTCAAGGAAAAAGAAGCCAACAAACTCATATTTACCAAGTATTATGATAAATGGCTAGAGTGTAAAAATGCTCATTTCGAAGTTATTTATTAAGGTCGTGGGAACTTTTTACATCTGGTTCATTATCACCATTTCTGTTTTCTATTTTTTCAGTGATTTCATTGAGAAGAAATTAAAATGGTGAAGACAGGAATAGTAGGGGAGTGTATACAACTAGGGGCATGAGTTGGGGAGAGAGTGGACCATCCCTTTTGTACACACTATTAATTGCTTTTTACTTCAGAAATATTCTTTCAGAGGATTATGCTACCATACTTACCTCAAACCAAAATGATTACTGTTGTCAAGGATATGTTTTCAGTGCATAAATATTAACATTTTCATCCTAAAGAGAATATTTTCACTGTTTCTTCCTTGAGCCACTATGTGGCTCAACTGTATTATTTGCTAGAATTTTCCCTAGAGTTTTATTTAATGTCTGCAACAGACTGAATGTGTCTTCCCAAAATTCAAATATCGAAATCTAATCCCAAAGTGGTAGTTTTTACAGGTGAGGCCTTTGGGAAGTGACAGGTCATGAGGGTGGAGCCCTCATGAATAGGATTAGTGCCTTTGTAAAAGAAACCCAGAGACTCCCTCACCCCCTCTGCCATGTGAGAATACAGGGAAAAGATGGCCATCTGTGACCCAGGAAGTGAATCTCAGCAGATACCAAATCCACCAGCTCCTTGATCTTGGACTTTCCAGCCTCTAGAATTGTGAGAAATTAATTTCTGTTGCTGATAAATGACCAGTCTATAGTATTCTATTATAGCAGACAGAATGGACTAAGATGATGTCTAATCATTTAACTAAAATTAAAACTAAAAATAGTACGTTGCCCTCCATTCACACTTTATTTGGGGGGTGGAAAGGGGAGATACCATTCTTCTTTTCTTATTCTGTTTTAGATTTGATTCCTTATTCTGTTCTAGATTTGTTTCCTTATTCTGTTTTAAAATTCATGGTGTGATATGTCTAAGCAGAAAGCCATTATAATTGTCCTCAACTGTAATAGCACTTTTCAGTTCCAGTTGTCAGCCACATAGAAAATACTAGGTTATTGGATGTATTGTTGCAAAGATATTAAGTATAGGGCTTTTTAGGATCTCAGCTGTTGTATTTTCACTTTGTAGCTCCACTTAAAAGTTTCTGTATCCTGGGCTGGCCCATGGCTCACTCGGGAGAGTGTGGTGCTGATAACACCAAGGCTATGGGTTCAGATCCCATATAGGGATGGCCAGTTAGCTCACTGGGTGAGCATGGTGCTGACAACACCAAGTCAAGGGTTAAGATCCCCTTACTGGTCATCTTAAGAAAAAAAAAAAAATTTCCATATCCAGGCCAAAAACATAAAGCCAACCAAAGGGAATTCAAGCTCAGCTACTACTGAGGCCTGAGTTCTAACACCAGTCTGGAAATGCTCTGAGTGGACAGCATCAGAAGAGTTATTTTGAGATAAATGGGATCAGTAAAATAAAATTCAGCTCAGTAACCAATTTTTATCAGATAAATTCTGTGGCCAGCTCTATAAGCATTTGATGACACTAGCTCTTTGTAACAAAGATTCTTTCAAGTATTGGACATATATGTGTTGGAAAAATATAGGAAAATGGTCAGGGCCCCTCAGATGTTCAGAATCTTGCTGAACATTTGATGTAAACAGGCACATGTTCTCAGGTGTTCCTTGGTTATTGTTTAGTGTAATTGTGCATGTGCACCCAGGTGTCCTGGGTTCTGGACTTAAGTATAAGGATGAGTGGCTCTGATCCACAGTGCCTCCCACCCCCAGGATGCCGGGGGGGGGGGGCGCCATGGGGAGGCTACTACTGCTGCTGGAGGCTGCTGCTGCTGCTAGTGCCCCCGGGACCCTCTGCAAGGCCACTGCCAGACCTGGAAGCTGCTGCCACTGAGGAAGCTAAGGACTGAGCTCATGTTGTCTGCCAACAGTTCCTGGAATCTTTCCCAATTACCTAGCATGGACCTGCATCTGAGGGGTCTGGGGACCCAGCCTGTACCATGAGTTTGAAGGGTCTGAGCCCTAGCTCTGACAACATAATTAGAAACTTAGTATAACTAAAATACTAACTAAGATAATGAAACATTTTGGCTTTAGTTATGATTTGCCTTACTTTGCAATAAGATACAGGAGGATCTGGGGGCCTGAAACTATAGGTTTCTCTTCCATCCCCATGAGAGTTGGAATATAAGAACAATGTCTGTCCTTCCTGGGACCTGGCCTAGTCTTATTTAATAAGAAAACTGAACTTGGAAGAAAGGTAGAAATGGGGAAAGGAACCAGTTTGTGTTTGTAGTATCCAGCAGGTTTCAGTATGAAGTGTCTATTTTTGATAGTTTCAAGAAATTTTTTTATTTCCTGATTAATTTCTTCTTATACCCAGAGGTCATTCAGGAGCATGTTTAATTTCCATGATTTTGTACAGTTTCCTAGGTTTCATGTGTTATTGATTTCTGGTTTCAATCTGTTGTGATCTGAAAAGATACTTGAAATAATTTCAGTTTTTAAAAATTTATTGAGACTTGATTTTTTTTTTCTTTTTTTTTTTGTCTTTTTTACTGACCGGTAACGGGATCGCAACCCTCGGTGTTGCGCCCGCACCGCGCTCAGCCAGTGAGCGGGAACCGGTCTCCACATGGGATCCCAAGCGGCGCACTCTCCAGTGCACCACTGGGCCGGCCCAACCAGTTTGTGTTTTAAATAGACTTTACATTATGTCTTAGTAGCCAGAGACTGATTTTGTTGTTGTTGTTGTTGTCTTTTTCGTGACCGGTAAGGGAATCTCAACCCTTGGCTTGGTGTCGCCCGCACTGCGCTCAGCCAGTGAGCGCACCGGCCATTTCCTATATAGGATCCGAACCCGCGGCGGGAGCGTCGCTGAGCTCCCAGCGCGGCACTCTCCCGAGTGCGCCACGGGGCCGGCCCCAGAGATTGATTTTTAAAGCTTATAAACAACTAAAATAAAAGTATTCCTTGTCTCACCAGAATGAAGACTCTAAGGTTTTTTTTTCCTCATAGCACATTTTTCATTCTGAATATTAACTGAAGGAAAAAAAGACAATAATTTAAAAATATATCACCTCCAGTTAGCTCAGTTAGTTAGAGCATGATGCTGATAACAAGGTCAAGGGTTCTGTCCCTGTACCTGCCAGCTGCCAAAAGAAAAAAAAGAACTAAAGAAAAGTTGAAGACCTGAATAAATTGGAATAAAGGAATGTTTATATATATATATAAAATAGCACCTCTGATACATAGTTAAATGCATTATTTATCCTACAGGGATAAACTGACTCAAAACAAATTGTGGGGCTCCAAACTCATGACAATGCCAAGAAATCAAATTGTGGGGCTCCAAACTCATGACAACGCCAAGAAATCAAATTGTGAATGAAGTCCTAATACTTATATTTGATTCCCATTTAGTATTAGATGTTTTGTTCACCTAAAAACAGATACTCCCCAGAGTCTAAGGACTTTCTATGATTGATAATGATCCATACAGAATCAAACATAGAAATCATGAGAGTCCATGGTTCTACGGTTTTTAAAGAATACTTATGTGGATTCTCACATGAAATTCCTCTGATCTTGGTTTAGCAGTGAGTAAATTTTAGAGACCCATGATTTTGATGGTATTCAGCTAAGCAAACTAGTCAAACAAGTAATTTGAAGTTTAGTTGCTCTTACTTTGAACTATTATTCATTATTAGATGATGAGTGAGAGAATATAAAATATGTGCCCTAGACCAGTGCTGTCCAATAGAACTTTCTATAATGACGGAAATATTCTATATCTGCTGTCTAATAAGGTACCACTAGCCATAGGTGGCTTCTGAGCACTTGAAATATGGCTAGTGTGACTGAAGAACTGAATTTTTAATTTTATAGCTACTGGTGGCTACTGGTTACCACTGGGCAGTACAACTTGACAATCCTATTGGTCTATTGTAATTCTCTTTATAAGAATGAAGCATACCAGAATTAATTATTCTCAGTTGCATATATTTGGGTTTTTTGTTTTTTTTTCCTATGGAGAAAGAGGACAACAAAGTATTGTGAACAGCTGTTATTTGTATAAGTTTGTATTTTTTTTAAAGAAAGAACTTCAGGAAACAAAGTAATGCAGTTACTAATTCTAAATAATTCAAGTAGAATCCAACTTTGATTATAGGTTTGGTCAAATCAGTGCTAAACAGCCTCTTTAAGAACATTACTATTCAACTGATTTATCTAATTTGCTTTTTCTTGGTTAGAGTGTGGTGTTAATAACACCAAGGTCAAAGGTTGGTTTTTACTAACTTGTCAAATAAGTTGTTTTAAGTCTTATTTTTAATTAGAGAAGTAATACACATTCCATGTAACAAATTCAAATAATCCCCAGGTGGATATATAAAACACAATGGGGACGTCTACCACAACTGTAACTACCAAAATTCCTATTCCCCAAAGATAATTGCTATTAAAAGTTTAGTGAATCTTTCCTGACTTTTTTGTCTAAGCACACTTAGAAACTAAAAGACTTGTCAGGTTACAATGATGGCTTTGAATCCCCTTTAGGCATAAACAATGTGGGAAATCACATTTCTGCAGCAAATTCAGTTCTGCAACATCAAGTGTGAATTCCCTGGAAACTGTTTGAGCCAATACTTAGGGATCATAATAACTAAAAAGTGTTGGGAAATGAAAAAGGGTTTTTTTGAGGGAGTTTGATCAGAAGAAAAATCTTGGAATGATGCTTGAAAGAGATCCTAAGGACACTGGAAGTTAAAAGGTTGAACTCCACAAAACAAAATTTGAAGTATGGAAAGGTTATTTTTTAAAATATTTAAGAGTTTCTAACAAAATCCAAATTGTTCCCATGATTTCATCCTTTGACATGTTCATTTTGGTTATCTCAAGCTTTTCTTGGGCTTTATAGAGAATTGTATAAAAGTAGCAGGCTAAGTTAATGCCTGTGGATGAGGTCACAAGTGGATGGCTTGGACTTTTGTCTGTCTTGCAGTGCTTGTAAATTTTTTGATTTACACTGTTGTTGCCAACTAACATAATCCATACCTATATGGACTGGACATAATTCATATATATATATGGACTGTATATACATACATATACCCTGAATTTAAAAACCACTATATGTAGATTTTTCCCTTGAAGTATCAGAAAATTGACACCTTGCCACATTTCCACATGGCAACAATTTAGACAGGGCATGAGCTCTCTATATGGCCTGATCCCCACCACTCTTGTCTTACACAAATCTAGTCACTGTGCTTCTGTTCCCTGCCTGACCCTGGCACACCAGTAACTTAGCATACTTATGTATCATTCTCTCTCAACATGTTTGAAGGACTGGGGAGCAAGGTATCAAAGGTGGAAGGCCCTAGTCTGGGTTTAATATGCTGGGCCAGCTAGTGTTTTGAGCTCTAAGCCAATACTCTGGACCTTTAGTCATGTTTTCTTTCCCCAGTAAAATAGAAAATTTTATTTCAAGAGGAAAAGAGTATAACTCCTACAACATACATGAAAGCCTATTTAGTTTTAATCTGGACTGGGAATCAGGAAACCTGGGTTCCATTTCTGACTTAATTGTTTTGGATAAATAAGGGTGATTAAGCTGTCCTTATGTCCCTTATCAAATGAGAAGAATACTGCTGTACTTCATAGCAATATGGAGAGATTTAGATTCTTTGGAAAATGGAAATGCTATTTGTAAAACTTAGTTTGAATGTTGAAACTTGTGTTTGTTTTTCAGACAATTTGGAACTTAACTGGATGTTTTATATGTCTAGTAATTGTCTGATAATAGATAATATTACTCTGCCCCTATACTGGGATGCAAAACAGCAGGAATCATCCTGTCTACACTAGTACTTTCAGCATAGACTTTACCACGCTAATCAGTTCGTGAAACTCTGTGTTCTGAAAGTGGCCACGGTCATTGAATTTGTACAATTTGGCTTCCAACCTATCAGCCACTTCTTGTTGTTCCTTCCAGGGAAGGAAAGGGTCGTCAGTGGAACCAAATTGCACAATGTGACAGCAATTGGCCTTTATCTTCTCCCACTGCCAGGGGCGGCTGAAGTATCCTATGGAAAAAAAATAACCTATCAATGCCCATGATATTCTAAAACGTCTAGTGGAGACACAGAGACACACAGAATCAGTGCCTAAATGTGAATCAGAAGCACTTCTTTTGTTTTCATATCTGTAGGGCTTGATACCAACACTGCTACTTGTGAAGAGGGAGTATGTAGCTCAAATAAAACCAGGCCTCTCAGGTTCAATTCTAGACTTTGGGTTGGAAAGAAGTCCAACACCTCTCCAAGTGCCTAATGTATTCGAAGATAAGTAGTAAATTTTTCTCATAGGCTATTCAATTTTTTTTTTTTTTTTAGCTTATCTGAATATCAGTACTGTTTTATAACCTGAACAGGCAGCCCCATGTCTAGGGGAAAGGCTTTTCTGGGGTTTTTGCCTGCAGACTTACCACTTGCACGCTCATTTTCATCCCCCAAGTCTGATGTATATGCAGACACTAATATAATAGCATATACTCTATGTGTTTCTGCATACCTGGGAAGAGAAAAATGATGTCAGTTCATAGACAATATTAAATTCAATCACCAAAAAGTCAATAAACCACTTACAAACCCATTTGATGTATCATACAGAAAGCATGTGCAATATGCTGTTGAGATTGATATGAGAAATAGCAAGAAAACTACAAGTCCAACCCTGACTACTTGATGAGCCCCTACTCATTTTTCAAGGGTAGTCCAAACCTCTTCTGCAGTCCTTCCCTAATAAACAAAAAAAGTGTAAACATTCTCTTTGGTGTGTGTATTCACTCATCTTTAGTATGCATAAGCATTATGTGGTTGGTTAACATGCAGATTCCCAGGCGTGTACCCAGAGCATGTTTCAGAGGGTTAGGACTGAGGTTCAGTTATCTGAATTCTAACGTGTGACATCTCCCCCAACCCAGGTGATTCTATAGAGTACCAGAAATGTACCTCTATTACCACACACTCCACATTGCATTGTATTATTAATTTGTGTTGTATTAGGAGGGTACTTCAAAAAGTTAATGGAATGATTCATATTATCTTTTAATTCTATTTTTCCACGAACTTTTTGAAGTACCCTCGTACATCTGTCTCCCCCAATAAACCATCAGCTCCCTAAAGGCAGGCATGAGCCTTACTGATCTTTGTGTCCTTGCTTTCTGGTACAGTGCCTGGCAAGTAGACACCTAGCTTACCATCTGCAGATGGTACCCTCACTCAGCAAAGACTAGGCTAAGGAAAGACATGGAGTAGAAATAGTTTCAAGAGCAAGGGAAGATTTAGGGTTTGTATTTTGTTCTTGGGTCCAAACTTTTTTTCCCCAACCATTTATTTTGAAAAATATCAGAGGACTGGCCAGTTGGCTCAGTTGGTTAGAGTGTGGTGTTACAACACCAAGATCAAGGGTTTGGATCCCCACACAGCCAGCTACCAAAAAGAAAAAGAAAAATATCAAACCTACAGGAAAGTTAGAAGAACAAGCACCTAGATTTATTAATTTTACTGCAGTTCACACTTATTTAAGCGTGTATCTCCTAAAAACAAAGCCATTCTCTTATATAACCACAGTACCATGACTACTCCCAATAAATATAACATTGAAATAATATCTCTTATCTGTATTCGTTTTTCCCCAGTTGTGCCAAAAACATCCTTTACAACAAAAAACATCCTGTAAAACAGTAAAAACTTTTACAATCCTAGATCCAGTCAAGGATGATGCATCACATTTGGTTTTCATGACTCTTTAGTCACTTTTAAACTTTTTTTTTTTTGGCAGGTGGCTGGTAATTAAACTTTTTCTTTTAAACAACATTGACACTGTTTAAGAGTTTAGGCCAGTTGTCTTGTACACTATCCCCTTAACTGGATTTGTCTGTTTCTTCATGATTAGAATGAGGTTAAACATTTTTGCAAGAATACTACATAGATGATCTTGTGTCTTTCCCACTCCATTCCATCAGAAGGCATATGATGCCAGTCTGCCCCATTATTGATGAGATTAAATTTGATCACTTGCTTAAGGTGATATCCACCAGATCTCTCCATTATAAAGGTACAGTTTCCCCTTTGTGATTAAAAGTAATCTGTAGAGTAGTCCTCTGTGACTGTGTCAATTTCCTGTTCCCCTGCAACCTTACATCCAGTGGTTTCAGCATCTGTTTTTCTCCTTGCCTCCCTTAACTGTAGAGGTCAATTCTCCTAAGTCAGAAGGTTGCTGACAATCCTGCAGGAAGTTCAGTGGTCTGAATTCAGAAGGCAGATGGGGGCTGGCCAGTTAGCTCACTTGGTAGAGCACCAAGGTCAAGGGTTCAAATCCCCATACCGGCCAGCCACCAAAAAAAAAAAAAAAAAAAAAGGCACATCTTTACTATTTAATGGCTTGAGAAAAATTCACTTGGCCTTGAGTTGGGCCAGATTTCATCAATATAGGGAGCTCTTCATTTTCTAGACAAGCACTGGCAGCTTATAAACATCCCTTACACTATGACTACGATAATTTTATACCTCCATATTAAAAAACTTTATTATTCTCATAGCTGTAATCAGTGTGGATGAAAGGTTATGGAATTTGGCAAGATTCCCTAATAAGCAATTCATGTGACATCCCGAGTGACTGCTTGGGACAAGAGACTATACAAATAAAAATATTAACCTTTGTCATCCAGCCTAGTGAATATGGAAAAAACCCAACCTTTAGGGAACCAGCTAAGTTCCCTACTCCCTAGAACTTATAAGGTTAAAGGGGGAGATGTGACATTCTAATGGAGACCATCGGGCATGTGCCCATGAATCCTAAGGAATGGAGGGATGCAGGTGGGTAGGGTGTAGCAGCAGCCAGCAAATATTTATTGAGCATCTACTATATGCCAGGCTCTCAGTGGGGTTTCAGTGTCAGAGAGAACAAAATCCCAACCTCCTGGAGCTGACATGGAAATGGACAAGAAATGAACAGGATATAAAATGGTGAAAAGTGCTATAGAGTATAAGATACAAGGGGATAGAAGCCAGAAGGGTGAGGCTGCTGTTTCAGAGAGATTACAGAAGGCTTAACTGAAAGGGAACATTCGAGAAGATTTAAAGGGGAATAGAAAGCCACGTAGGTATCTAGGGACAGAATGTTCCAAGTAGGAGGGTAAGAGCTGGTTACGGTAGGTGTGCATTTGGCATGTTCCATGAACTGCAATGAGGTCAGTAAACCTGGCTGGGGAAAGAAAAGGGGAGATGGTAGAGATGAAATCATAACTGAGTGACAGGAAGCCACTGGGGTTTGGAGCCACTTATGTTTTAAAAGGATCACTGCATCCCAGCAAAAAAGCAATATATTTTCTTTTAATCCACTAACCAAACCAGGAAGGAATTAGGTCAGATTATGTTGCCACTTTTTGAGGTCAGCACTGTTTCCTCTGCAATAGAAACCTAAGATATACGCAAGGTATTTCCCAAGCAAGCATGGCTGGGCTGGAGCCCACAAAGTGGGTGGGAGTTCAGCAAGGATCGTACCTCATGGCTGCGATGGCCCCGGAACTGTGGCCTATGATGATGGTCTTTTCATCACAGTGCAGCTCCGTCTCCATGAAGGGCAGCCAGATGCTCTCTCGAGCTGTAACTAAGGTTCAGGGTAAAGGAAGAGTATGTCATTTGATAGGGATGGTCTCAGTCTAATGCTGCCCCCCTTTCTAACATAACTGTTCAGCAGTTCACAAGTTTTAAAACCACAGAACCAGGGCCGGCCCCGTGGCTCACTCGGGAGAGTGCGGTGCTGATAGCACCAGGGCCACGGGTTCGGATCCTATATAGGGATGGCCGGTTTGCTCACTGGGTGAGCGTGGTGCTGACAACACCAAGTCAAGGGTTAAGATCCCCTTACCGGTCATCTTTTTAAAAAAAAAAACAAAAAAAAACCACAGAACCACAATGGGAGATGGAGTTGTTTTAATAGAGTTAAAGACTTATATGTTGCTGTTTGAAATACCTAAATCCATAGTTTGGAAATAGTTTTATTTTCTACCATGATTTTGTAAGAAAAAACTGAGGAAATAATGAAATATAACTCTGAAACTTTAAATGTAAACCCTCAAACATAAAAAAAAAAAAAAACTTGACAACATTCTCTTTAAAATTCACCTATATATTGTTTCCTTCCATAAAGGAGGTTCCTGAGACAAATCATAGGCATACCCAGAACAAAACTGGCAAAATTACATTTTTAAACATTACAATCTCAAATAGGTGCTATAACATTTTATTATATCTCTGCCTCAAATGGAACACCCACAAATTTTACCTAAAAATATCTATAGACTTAAAGAAGGGAAAATCAAATTGCTTGCAAAGTTGAAAATTAAGTTCTACCAAGTAGAGATGCTTTTCTTGATCCTTACTAGAATTTTCTATATTTTTTGGCTTACACCCTCCTCCCCAAGGTGCTTGCCTTATTCATTCTTAGAAATATATTCATCTTTGCCTTCTCTACTATCATATTCCTGTTCTCTGCTACGAAAATGGTGAGATCAAAACCCAACAAGATGCAGCTATTTAAAAACAAGTTTAAAACTTACTTGGGTCAGGCATGTTTTTAGCCAAACACTGGAAACCAGGTATCTATGATATGAGGGAGGGGAAAAAAAGCTATAATAAAGAGCTTAATTACAACTAATACTTTGCTAATAAGAAGTGAGACAACCTGATATAATCTTTATCAAATCAATAAGTATTTGCTTATATTATGAAATGAAGTGGGTTAAATGCTACAGGATTACATATGAATATATAATCCTGCCTCATAAACTCCATCTGTAGTTCTATATCTAGCCAGCTCTGCAGACCTCTGTACAGAGAGACCTATCTCTGAACTTGTATATCCTATACAATAAAGATCTACATCCTTTATTTGCAATAAATATAGACCTGCATCTATATTTATCTCTACAGGCATAAATTTATAGAGAAGGCACGAGCGAATGTGTTCTAGACAGACTGACCTAGAGCCAGACTGTGAGCCAGGGAGTAGATAAAATGTGGTACAGAAAACTGGAGATCCCATCTTCTCTGACCTTTTGGTTTGTAGCTCTAGCCATGTTTTTAAGCCACAACCCTGAAATTCTATTCTAGAAAACTTCTCTAGAGAATGGCAACCCAGGAAGCAGTCTTATTGCCAGGTTATGGAATAGGGTTCAGAAAGAAGTCAAGATGCATAGGACAAACTATAGTAGGACACCCTTTTTATAAAGTTCACAAAGAAGCCAAGATAAACTATTATTTAAAGACTACATAATATAAATGCTAAAAATAATTTTAAAAAGAGAAGCAAATGGAAAAAATTACAGGATGGCAGGGGGATAAAATGGGGGGACATACAGGTCATTTCAAAAATATTAGTAGGCTCAGTTGGCTAAAGGGCAGTGTTGATAACACCAAGGCCAAGGGTTCAGATCCAGGTAAGGGTGAGCCGCCAAAAAAAAGAAAAGATATTGGTAATATGAGCCCAATAAAGACTGTTTATTCCTCTAAAAATGAAAAAAAAAAAAAAAAAAGATATTGGTAACAGACTTTAGTTTGGTGATTCATTGAATTACACTTCATAATTTACACACATACATCCTTTGTATATATTAAATATTACATTTAATTTTTTAAAATCTGAAGCAGGGAGCAATGAAGATACTTGTAAAATTATCTGGGAACTCCCAAATCGGAACCGGCAGCAGAGAGGGGCAGGGGTGAGGGTTCTGTCTCTGTAGTTCTAAAAAGTGGTTCCTTCCACTCTAACGACTGAGCCCTCGGAGAATTCTTCCAATTTTTCCAACCAAGATCTCGACCACTAGTTCTAGAGTTTAAGAGACGGCATCGAGGAGAGGAGTGGAAACACACAGGGCGTTGCTGGCGGGGGGCGGACACACCTTCAAACGCCAGGCCTCCGTCCCCGCCCAGCTGACTTCCCCGAGCAGATCGTGTGTCTCTTACCTGCCCCAGCTCCTTTTTCACCCAGCCATACCAGCCGTGCGTGGCCACATCCCCGCCTCCGTTCCCGGGAACAATCACTGCCTTGCTGGGAGAAGCCATGAGTAAAGAGGCCAGAGTCGCCCGGCACCGGGTCCTCCCGCGCTCGGAGCCGAGACCGCTTCCGGCCGGGCGCGGGCGCCTGTGGCACTCTGGGAATTGTAGTTCCACGGGGACAATAGGACCAGTCATTCACTCTGGCCTTCCTTACCCTGGCTGCACAGGCGGCCAAAACAAACCTCGCGGGTATCCACCCAATGAAATCACCTTTTACTTGCCTCCTACTCGGGTTCTTATTCCCCTCCACGCACCCTTATTTGGGAAAGGTTGTGACATGCCCAAAATGTGTTCTCTCTTTACTAGACTTACTGATATTCCTGTAGGAAAGTGTGTTTCTAGTACCAAACATGCAGAACACAATCTATTTCTAACTTGGGAACACCCGAAATCCACATTATTTTTCCTTCTGATTCCAAAACAGTTCTTGGTAGAATAGTCAATATTAGCCCTGGTTATTATTTTTCATTGCTTTAAATACTGTCCTTTTAAAAGGTATCATCATTGGTGTAGGGCACATGGATAACATTCATACTTAAATCCATTTAAAGACTGGGGAAATTCAGGGGCTGGCCGGTTGGAAGGAAGGAAAGAAAGGAAAGAAGGAAGGAAAGAAGGAAGGAAGGAAGGAAGGAAGGAAGGAAGGAAGGAAGGAAGGAAGGAAGGAAGGAAGGAAGGAAGGAAAGAAGGAAAGAAGGAAAGAAGGAAAGAAAGAAAGAAAGAGAGAGACTGGGAAAACTGAGATACCAGTGAATGATTTACCTTTCATAACATGGTAATCCTGAAGAAACTGGTTGTACCTTATAGGTATATCCAAATCTTATTGAATAGAGATGGGCAGAAGTGTGCGTGTGTTATAAATGGGAATGAACAGGAAAGTGCTTTTTTTCCCTTGCCCCCCATGGATTTATTGTGTATATCAGACGTGCTTTAGCACCTGATGTTGAGAAACATCCCCTTTTAGTTCTTTTGTGTGTGTGTGTGTGTGTGTGTGTGTGTGTGTGTGTGTGTGTGTATTTTTTGAACAGGCACAAGCAGGAGATTTATACAGTACCCCCGCTCCCCACATTCTTTAACAAGAGTAAAACATACTCTTTTCTTTTGAATGGAGGCTCTATGAATTTTCTTTAAAAAGTCAATGTTATTGAATTTTATCAATAAATGCAAACTTACGCACTTAAGAAGGGATGATGGGTCTGGCCAGTTAGCTAAGCTGGTTACAGCGAAACCCTAAAACACCAAGATCACAGGTTCAGATCCCTGTACTGGCCGGCCACCAAAAAAAAAAAAAAGAAAAGAAAAGGAATGAACTACTGAGATACACAATACCATGGATGAATCTTAAAATAATTATGTTGAGTGAAGGGTGCCAGACAAGGAAAAAAAGTACAAATCCTATGATTCCATTTATATAAAACTACAGAAAATACAAGGAGCTTGAGGAAACTTTTCTTAGTGATATATATGTTCTACATCTCAATTGTAATGATGTGTTTCAAAACTTAAATTGTACACCTTAAATATGTGCAGCTCATTGTACATCAATTACACTTCAATAAAGCTGTTTAAAATTGAAAAGTAAGGCTGCCTGGTTAGCTCACTTGGTTAGAGTGTGGTGATAACACCAAAGTCAAGGATTCACCAAACTGGCCAGCCATTAAAAAAAAAAAAATCCATTAAAATAAGAGGTAAACCAAGTACAGACGTTCCTGTACCCAAGCAGTTAGTTGATTAGTGTTTTTTACTTCCAGAAATAATGACACTCCCTTAACATGAACTGTGGGCTGAAAAAGGATCTATCCCTCCTTAGGATTCTGTTAGCTCTTCCTTCTAGAAGGAGAAAAAAGGCAATAGCATGAACTTCACCTTTCTCAGATTGTTTATGGCACTAATTATTGCAGAGGTTATATAGTTACACATAAATTCACCTTGTTTTCTTTTCTACTTTTCATCTCTTTTACAAGCAGTTTCTGAGCTTGTCATATCACAGAAGAAATAGCTTTAGTTTCAAAACTAAAAGTCAACATTTTTATAATTTAAGAAAATCCAACAATGCACATTTGTATCTGGTACATCATTTGATAATACTGAAAGAGCTGTTCTCAAGAACTTGCTGAGGCAGTTTCAATCTTTCTTTTTTTTTTTGTTTTGTTTTTAAGATGACTGGTAAGGGGATCTTAACCCTTGACTTGGTGTTGTCAGCACCATGCTCACTGAGTGAGCTAACCGGCCATCCCTATATGGGATCCGACCCACGGCCTTGATGGTATCAGCACCGCACTCTACCGAGTGAGCCACAGGCCGGCCCCAGTTTCAGTCTTTCTAAAGGTTCAGCCACCTTCCTCTAAGGCCCTCCTTCTGAATTCCTTGGCCTGATATTTTTTTTTCAGGTCAAGATCTCTTCTGTTTTGGGGGGTTTTTTTGTTTTTCTTTTTTGCGGCTGGCCCGTATGGGAAGGTCAGAATCTCTTCTGTAGGGAGAGACTCTTCAAACTCACTGTCTAAACTTATTCTCCCCTCTTCTGTGATTCCTTTCCTATTTCGGCCACTGTTTTTCTTTGCTTGTTTGGTTTTTTGTTTTGTTTTGTTTTAACCACCTTGAGGAGAAGGGATGTTAAAAGAAGGCCTCTTCAAAATCTTGACAGAGGGGCCAGCCTGTGGCTCGCTCGGGAGAGTGCGGTGCTGATAACACCAAAGCCACGGGTTTGGATCCCATATAGGGATGGCCGGTTTTCTCACTGGGTGAGCATGGTGCTGACAACACCAAGTCAAGGGTAAAGATCCCCTTATTGGTCATCTTTTAAAAAAAAAAAAATCTTGACAGACACACGGGAGTCACTAGGGAAAGAAGGGAAGTGAAGAGGTTGTTCTTGGCAGAAAGGAGAGCGTGGAAAATGGAACAGAGACAAGAAACAGCACACATGGGCTGGGAAGGACAATTGGTTTGGTGCTGTAGGACTGAGGTATGTGGACCATGGAGGCCCTTGAATAGCACAACAAAATTTGAGCAAAGAGATCATTTGGGAGACTGTTGCAGTGACCCAGTGAGACAGAATGAATGCTGAAATAAGCAGGTATATCGAATTGAGAAATATTTAGAATAAAAAATCAACAGGACCGAGTGATTCATTGTTAGCTTCAAGGTGGAGTACTTAGGGATAAACAAAGGCCGAGGATTACTCCCTAGTTTCTAGGTGAGTAAATGGGAGGAGAATGGCATCTCCAAGTGAAATAGAATTACAGAGGCAGAAGGTTAGTTGGAGGACAGAGGAAAGATGAATTCAATTTAGGACATACTGAGATTGAGATGCCCAAGAACACCCAGAGATATCTGCAGGGCAGTTCTCCAGATGACATTGGACATCCCAATTCTCTCCCCTTTCCTGCTTGTAGTTCTCAACAATAACTGTACAGGGGCTGGCTGGTCAGCTTAGTTGGTTAGCACATGGTGCTGCTATCACCAGGATTCCAGGGTTGGATCCTTGTACCAGCCAGCCACCACAAAATAATCACAGAATGTGCTGAAAATACAGTATCCTGAAAAATAAATTATCGTAGAATGTGGTGAAAATGCAGAGATAAAAGCGGAATGTCCTTCAGTGCTTTAGCTCAGAATTTCATGCTTCCCCCAGGATGTAAAACCCCTGGTTGGGCTGCTGTCTGGGGTCCCTCTGCTGTGGTGCAAGTGAGGCTCACACAGAGGAGACTCCATCCACACTTTACAGCTTTCAGGAGCCTTGGGGGACCAGATCATTGTGAGTCTTAGGCTACTATTGTTCCCTGCTGCCTATCTATAAGTAATAAATCCACTTTATGTAACTTCGTGTGTGTGTGAGTGTTCCGTCTGGCTAGACTTGGGCAAGCAAGAAAAGCGCAAGATGCAGTGGGCTGATGTGATAACCCAGGCACAGTAAGCCTGCTTTACAGGTTGCTGAATATATGAACCTGATGTTAGATAGAGAAGTCTGAGTGAGAACTACAAAATTTAGAGTCAGGTTATAGGTGATGATAATATATTAGGAAAACTGTGAAAGATTTTGAAATAGTCAAAAGAGATTATTGGGTTAACTTTCCATGGAATACTGGGCTTTTTCAAAAAGACCCTAGGAGTCATCTGATTATAAGAGGTATGTACCTTTGTCTTTGATTATGCTCATTTACAACTCTGTAGAAATAGAAATTAACTTTTTTGTTTCTTTTTTTTTGTATTTTTTTCTATTTTGATTGTTTTATTTATTTATTTTTAATTACTTTTATTTTTAGAAATTAACTTATAGGAACACTTACTCTATGGAGTAACGTGATGCTGGATTCTAGAATCGCAGTAGGGCCAGTTGAGATGTTTAAAGAAGAAAAAGAAAGAAATTAACTTATAGAAAGCCGATAGTAATGCAAATGTTTCCTGCCCATAACAATGCAAATTATTCCTGTTCACAGCAATGCAAATACATTTTGTGTGGTAGAGAATACAAGTCTCAATACATCAAATTCTTCTTGGAACCAGTTTGAACATCTCTACTGGTTCCCTCATTAGTGAATGAACTAAGTAAAATCTTTGGAACATATTCATTTTATATTTGTATGAGGGCCATCATTTTATCTTTTCAAAACACTTTAACAGTTTTGAAGGTTTCACTAACATACCAATAGATTCACCTGACAGAACCAGGTAAACCATGTCACTGAAGAAGACCTCATGGGCTGTTTAAGCCCAGACATATTTTTTTCTTGGCTCTCAGAGTGAATACCAGGTGGCAATAGTACTACAATGTTGCTGACTCTCTGTTTCTCTAGGTTTCTTTTCTCTTCTCTACTGAGCTTGTGTTGTTGTCATTGGAGTGAGCAGGACTGAAACCATATTGGGACCTAAACCACATGGGCTCTAAAGGATTTTAAAAGGACACAGTTTTTTTCCTTAACATGCATTTCTCTGAATTTCCTCTTTTTTTATGGTTATTTGATATTTTGAGCCTTGGTTATGGGGCAAGATGCTGTTATTTACATGAATGTAAAGATGTTTTCCA